CTTCGTATTCAAAAGGCGTAAAAGTCTTAAGGTTTTTTAAACATTGCGTTGCACTTAATAAGTACATTCTAGACTTCTTTTAAGCTTTTTTAATATTATATCAATTGAGTGTTTGATTGCGAATGTAATCGAGATCGTTTAAAAAAGAATTGATCGAATACTCGATATCGAGCTGTGCAAGCGCAGCTTTAATCGTTAAGTCGTAATAATGCTTATAAAGATAAAAAATCCTTATATCAAGAAGTTGCATGCAATAAGTAAAGTAAGTAATTAATAAGTACGGTAAAATGTGATTTTTATTAGTTAAATTAATAAATTCCGGAGTCCGGTAGCTAGCGTGATTATCTATTAACATAAGCTTTTAAGGTTTATTTAGTTTATAATCTGCGTTTTTGATATAATACTCGAAGTATAACAATGCGATTTTATTATCCGTGAATTTATTTTCAGCTTCTTTGATAAGTGTGCTTGCAAAAAGTTTCGAAACGAATTATTGTTGCATAAGTCGTTTGCTTTATATAAGAATCATCGGAAAAATAAGTTTTTAACCAATCGCATTAATCATTTCGATTATTGTTATAAATCTTCGATTTTCCAAGCTAACATTATAAAACTATAAATAAAAATTAATATATAAAATTTAAGTAAAACAATACGATACAACATACTTTTCGAATAGCTTTAAAGATTAATATTTCCGTTCTTCGCAGATAGCTAACACGAAACTTAGTCTCGTCGAAATTGATGATATCTTTAAGTCGAATATTCATCTTTTTTAAAGTGCGCCGATAGCTCTTAAACCATTTATATACCTCTTGCGTGTCTTGCGCTACGATTCGTACTTAAGCGAGAGGTTTAATCTTGATTTTGTATAAGCTATTCGTTTTCTACTACTTTGTAAACTAACTCTAGCTTTGCGGCTTCGTATATTCGTCGTATGTTTTGCGTAGAGCGAATATAACGTTGTAAATCAATTGCGGTGTAAGAGTAAGCTAATTAATAAGAAGTTGAAAAATGAATTAACGTAATGCGTTAACATGCTAGCTTTGCAAGATCTTGTTTTGACCGCCGTGCTTGCGATTTTTCGATCGCTTAAAATAATTATTTAACGTGCGCTTATTAAGATCGTAAATACGCGCGGCAGTTTTTTAAATCTCGTAAAAGTATTCGAACAAGAATGTTATAGCGCGTCGAAGACGCGTCGCAAGATCTTCAATTGCATTAAGACTACTTGGTTGAGCGTAGCTTTTGTATTAAAAAATCCTTAAAAGCTTTTTCGAACGAGTGCGTTTTCGACCTATGATTAATTGTAAAATACAATTGAATTGGTTGTGCGGTTATAGATTAAAAAGTAATATTATAAATTGTATTTTGTATACGAAAACTAATAGTAAAAAAAAAATCCGCACTCGCTTCCGATCCGCAGTCGCTTATACCGACTAAGACTGAAAGGCTGAAAGGAGGCCCACCTAAGCGAGCCGACGATTATAAAGGATGGGGGTATGCGATAGCGCGAGCTTAGCGATCCGGGGCCATCTAAAAGAAAGCTTTTCTTTTACGTGGTTTGGATTCTTGATTGGATAGTACTTTGTTTCTAATTCTTTTACCTAGCACGTCGCCGCTTCTTTTACAATAGGTCCTAAGGCGGCCGGCTGCAAGCAAAGCTCGCTCGACGTTAATTAATACTTATCCACAATACAACAACAATAAGCACAACCACAACCACAACCACGGGGGAGACAAAAAAAAGACGCAACACGCAATCAAAACGCCTTTCCAAATTTCCAGAAAAAATAAAGTCTTTATAAAAAAAAAGAAAAAAATTTATATAAAAAAAAACAATAAAAAAAAAATAAGAAAAATAAAAAAAAAAATAAAAAAAAAATAAAACATCTTATCTCATCTCGCACCCCCGACGACGATAAAAGCGAAAAAACAAACGAAAATCGGAAATAAAGACAACTAGTCGGGCAAGAAAGTAGGTATATATATATATATATATATGTATCTTAAAAGACCTCCTTTCCAGATCCGCGCATGCATGCATGCATGCGCTAAAGCTCAACCGGGCAGATTTCAAAGAGCAGAGCAAGAAAAGGCTCGCGATACTCTTCTTCGTCGAACCTATCGAAGAAGAAAAAAAAAAAAAAAAGTCTCTGCCGAGCAAGACTCTTTTTAGGAGTCGGGAGAAGGATGTTGGATGGTTGGGATTTTGTTTGGTTAGGGTTTACTTATTCTTACTTTCTTTCTTTCTTTCTTTCTTTTTTTTTTTCTCTCGTATTATTTTCTTTCTTTCTTTCGCTCTTCTAAGAAAAAGTACTTATTCTTCTCGCTATTCTCTTTTATCGCTCTATCGCATCTTAAAGTACCATAAAGCGATACGAAGCGATACGAAACTAAACCGATTAGAAGAAAAAAACAAAAAAAACCTATAGCTGCGCAAAAGTTTATATAGCGCGCGTGAAAAAGAAATCGGGAATTGATAAATTAATTAATTAATTAATTACCTACCTACCTACCTTATTAACTAACTAACTAACTAACTAACTAACTAACTAACTAACTAACTAACTAACTAACTAACTAACTAACTAACTAACTAATCAATTGCATAAGGTAGACCTTTAGACGTAAAAAGCATTGTTGTTGTTGTTGTTGTATTTATTAACGTCGAGCGGGTATTTAAAACGCAATGCTTAGACCTTAAAGACCTCTTATAAAGTACGGCGACGTATTAAGTAAAGGAATTATATACAAAGTACTATCTAATCAAGAATAAAAACCACGTTAAAGAAAACCTTTCGTCAAATAGCTAGACACTTATAAACTTTTTAAAAGCAATTTGTAATAATATGCGTCGAATTTTCTCTCGACAACTATCGAATACGTATAGCTTTACGAGCGGCTTCGATTTGTATAATACAAACATCGTTCTCTTTCGTCGTAGAGCTAAAAAAGCTCGCGTTCGTAGCTTTTAAATAAAGCCGGTGTATTTATAAAACGCTCTTTCGAAAGCGCAGTACCGTGTTTTCGATCAATCGAACTAAGCCTTTCTTATCTTATCTTTTATATACGTTCCTTTTTTATCGCAAATCCTTTTAATCTTTTCAATCGGTATGCCCGTTAAGTATAGATCGTAGTCGGCGTAGTATTCGAAAAGAAAGAAAAAAGAAGTTCGGAATCGCTAGTAAAAGAAAATCTCTTCGAAGAGACGTCGCATATCGATGATTCAATTTCGGCTTTTTAAACTTTTTATCTCTTTTTCTACCGCAAGAGAAAGAAAGAAAAAGAGCTGAAGGTTCGTAAGGGGCACCTCGTACAAGTAAAGAATCGTAGCCCCCCGACGTAAAGGGCATAAGACGAGGAAGAAGGGGCATGCTGCTGCGCTTATAGGTACCGGTAAGTACCTAATCCCGCTGAACGGTAATCGTCGGCTCGCTTAGGTGGGCCTTTTTTACAGCCTTTCAAACTGATTAGGGGATATGATGATGATAATAATAATAATATTATAATAATAATAATAATATTATAATAATAACAATAATATTATATATATTACGAGACAAGATACGATATAGCATACGATAAAATATACGAGAGGACATACGAAAAACTATACGAGAAGACATACGAAAAATCATACGATAAAATATACGAAAAACTATACGAAAAACTATACGAAAAACTATAAGAGAAATCATACGAAAAATCATACGAAAAAACATGCGAAAAAAATCATACGATAAAATATGCGAAAAAAATCATACGAAAAAAAAAATCATACGAAAAATCATACGAAAAATCATACGAAAAAAACGTAATAATCAAAGCACACTAACTTTCTAACCTGCAAGCTCTCGGTCATACTTAAAGCACGCAAGTATCTTATTCCAACTATCTCAACTTATATAAGAAATAAAAAAAGAAAGAAATAACCAACTAATCTAACTACGAAACAAACGCTTTAACATTTTCAAAACTTAAAAGCATAAATAATCATAAATCAACGCAATCGAAATCTCTTACTTTTTATCTAACCGAATAAAAATAGACATCACTTGCTTATTTATTCACTTACTTACGAATCTACGTTCCTTAAAACAATTCCAAATTCAAAGACGGAGCTAGCTATAAGCCGACGAACGATCTTTTCGCAAAAAAAAAAAAAAAAAAAAAAGAAGAAGGAGGAGACCGTCATGACTCATCGGATTGTCAGACTCGGCTGAAGCCTGACGGTGTAGAGAACCTTCGACCTGCTTGCCTGCCTTCAAGGTAGGTACCTACCTTATGTGGTACGAGAAAAACGTACGACGAGAAGAAGAACATACGAGAAAAAAAAAAAACATACGAGAAAAACATACGACGAGACATACGACAAAACATACGATAAAACGTACGAGAAAACATACGAAAAAACATACGACGAAACATACGACGAAACATATATATCATGCGACAGGCTTCATCGCACTCACACCGACTAATAGTCAGTGCACTGACTTTGTGACCTGCGGGCTCTCGGTCACAGTCAAGATAAGCAAGTGTCCCAGGTCAAGCAAGTGTCCCATTTCAATTATTTCAACTTGTATTAGAAATAACTTAGCAACGAATATTGCTATGATATTCAAAACTAGATGCATAGATCGGCGTAATCGAGATCTTTAAAAGTCTAACCAAGTATAAAATATTTTTATTAATAATTTAATAATGAATAGAATAAATAATGTTTGATTATCGATTGAATTTGATTGAAAATCAAATATTTTGTATTAAAAATTTTATATTTTTGAATATTGATCGTCTTTTGAATTGAATTTTAATATAAAAATTTGATATTTAAAAAATTCTTAATCAAGCAGACTCGTACTATTTGGTTTTTCT